CAAAGAATATATTCATTAGATATCTTTCTTTACATAAATTGTGATTTGGTTGAGAAACATGAATAAACAGCAAGATTTACAATTTTAAGACTTTACACATAATAGGACAAACATATCTGTCAAGTTTATTGATGCATGATAATGTACCTCTTAGACTCAATGTTAGAATATAGGAAAATATTAACAGCTTAATTTACATTCACTATTGTTTTTAGGTGCAAAAAATGGGTTCAGTAAAGCAGAAATAACAATCTGAGGGATGTGCTTGTGGAGAAGCTGGACAAGAATTACTGCTCAAATAAAAAGTATTTTGAGTGATCTCAGTTTATGAATCCCATGCTAGTGAAGAAGCAGCTTTTTTTTGGAATACAGTTCCAACAATTTTGTATCTGCCAAATCCACTTCCTTCAGTAACTCAAAGACCACCTCCAAAGAAGAAGAAGGCCATCCCTACAGATGCAAGTATTACCAGTAGCAATGAACCATTATTAAGTGAAAATGAATTATTAATAAGTTAATACTTTAAAAATCATATTTTATATTCCACTTTCTTGTAGTGTATATGTATTCAGTATGAATGAATGATTTCTATCTTACTGGTTCTAATTTACTAGAGTATAAATATCAATATACGTATAATAAGCAAACTACTGTCACTCTTATAACCGAGGTTTTTAAACATGCTTTTAGAAGGTTAAAATTAGAGGAACATGTATTAAAATACTCCAATGATCAACATTGTTTAGTATGCAATTAAATTAAAATCTTTATTCTAAGACCAATGAACAGTCTTAAAAGACACACTATGTCTTTCAATGTCAATTCAAGTCATCCTCAGGAGTGTGAAAAACAAATACTGTGCAACCATATAATTAGCCACTGGTCATGTGACTACATTGTTTACATACTTACAAAAAATCATGCCATCTACATACTTTCTGATTTTCCAAACCTTCATCCTTATTTAAGATATTATTATTTTTATTGTGTTTCATTATTTCTGTAGTTTCTCTAATGTATCTAGCCATCGTATTATTCGATTGAGCCAAAATAACAATTTTTTTCCAACTATATGATACGACCAGTATAATTTGCATGTTTGGCTAGTGCATAGTTTTCACTTCCAATTTTAACATTTCTCTTATCTTCATTTATTCTAAATTGGTCAAACTAGAAGAAATGGAGATAATTAATAAGAACAAGGGGTTGATAAAGGCATTTAAAGAAAAAGGGTGGAAATCGGGGAACATCTGAGTGCAAGTGATCATTGCTCTATTAGGTTCAGTGTTTTGCTGCATATGGACATAAGGAATAATGATATTTTGGTTACAAATTTAGGAAAGGCAAATTCTGAATGGATGTGACAAGAATTATCTGTTATGAATTGGGCAGCTGAGTTATTTGGAGAAACTGATCAAATATGAAAACATTTTAAGAGATAAATTTTTAAATATTCAAGATAAACACATTCCTTATAAAAAGAAAAGGATGGCTGTAAGTAAAAAACCAGGTTGGCTCACTAAGAGTATAAGAGATAATATTAAATAAAAGCATACCAAATTTAATAAATTTAAATTGACTAATATGACAGGAGATTTACAAGATTATAGAAGATCAAGAAAGTTGGTGAAAGAGGAAATTAGGATATCAAAAAGGATGTAGGAAAAAAGGTTGGCTGAAAATGTAAAAATTAACAGTAAGGATTTATTTAAATACATTAACGGTAAACAAAATGTTAGGATGGGGATAGGATGCTTGAGGGACGATAAAGGAAAGCTTGTATCTGATGATTACGAGATGGCTAGGTTATTAAATTTTGCTTCTTCTTCAAGTTTTTACATTTAAGGTTTAAGCAGTATTCCTCATCTTGAACAGTTGATAAATAGAAACAAGATCGAACAAGATGACTGCATTAATTCTGAGCTTTTTTAAGAAACAATTGGTGAGTTTAAAGAACAATAAGACTCCTGGGTCAGACAATATTTCCCCAAGAGTTTTGAAGGAGATTAAGGATTAGATATATGAGCCACTTGCTGCTATTTTTTGTAAGTCCTCCAACAGTGGGTGGGTGCCAGAGGATTGGAAGTTAACTAATGTCACTCCTCTTTTCAAAGGGAGGTCATAAAAATTGTCCCAGTAATTATAGGCCTATTTGTCTTACATCAATTGTGTGAGCATTTTTGGAAAGTCTGATAAAAGATGCTTTGCAAAGTCATTTAACAAAGTTTATCTAGAATTTTATTAGAGAGCTAACATGGTTTCACTAAGGGAAAATCTTGCTATACAAATCTTTTGACCTTCTTTGAAAAGGTTACTGCTTTATAGATGATGGTAAGTGTGTAGATTTGTTGTATCTGGATTTTCAGAAAGCATACGACAAGGTGTCGCATAAAAGCTTTTAAAAAAAATCATCTCTGTAGGAGTGAGGGATAAGTTAGCTAACTGGATAGAAGCGTGGGTGGATGGAAGAAAGCAAAGGGTTGTTGAAAATGAAGTTCAGTCAAACTGTACTGTCACAAGTAGGGTACCTCATGGCTCAGTCTTAAGACCTTTGTTTTTTTTTTACATTACATCAACAATATAGATAAAGGAATGGTCAATAAATTACTTAAATTTGCAGATGATAATTAAGGTTTTGGGTGTTGCTAGCAGTGAAGAGGATGCAGGTACTTTACAAAAGGATTTAGATCACTTAGTGAGTTGGGCAAATATATGACAGATGGGTTTTAATTATAATAAATGCAAAATAATGCATGTGGATTATCATAATTTTAATATAAGTATAATTTA